TAAAACCTACTACCGCCCATGTCTGTTTATCCCCCTGCAGTATGACTATTGTATGCATGAGATTGTCCCTATGGTTTTTGCTTTCTTTTCAGGACCCAATCAGACTGAATGGAAGGAACGTATGAGAGTGAAGTTTAAGTTTCATCTTTGTTCTAATTGAAAGCAGACTAAGGATGAACTGGGGGAAGGTGGGAGGAAGGTAGACTGCATGCGTTTGACCGGGTGAACCCAAGCCTAAGCATTGTTTCTACTGTGAATGACTCAGACCAATGTTTAATTGACTGTTTTCTAAAGGACCAGGCATTGTTTCTACTGTGAATGGCCTGGTTGCTATGTTTATTTAGTTCTATTCTGGACGACCAGGCATTGTTTCTACAGTGAATGGTTTGTTTACTCTAGTTAACTCTGGGGGTTTGCCTGACTAAAGGAGTTTAAGTTCTTGTTTATTTTGAGGGAGGATTTCTGGTCTAAGGCTAAGCATCGTTTCCATGATGAATGATTAAACATGAAAACTACGCACTTAAGTTAAACTGAGTATGAAGGGAAAATACTTTATATATATTTGCATGTGAACTGGTAGCTGGACATTGTTTCCATGGTGAGTGGTCCAGCGTTAAGCTATATCATCAAAAAGAGAAAGGAAAATTTTGGGAGTATAAATGGAAATAGTCTGGGCAAACTGAACATTGTTTCTATGGCGAATGGTTCAGTCCCCTGCGCATATTTGCTTTACTTTTTGAAAACAAAGTCAGAGAAATACTAAATTTTTGATATTAAACGGTTCAGGGCGGCTAGGCATTGTTTTCATTGCGAATAGCCTAATCATATGCCCAAAAGAAGAGAGAAGTAGTTGTGCAACCTGTTCGTGTATAACTTAAAGGCAGGCTGGGCATTGTTTCCATGACGAATGGTCCAACTCTATGTCTTATGTAAGATGGGTATAAAGATTCAATGGCTTAAAAGGTTCATAAACTATCTATATGGAATGAACTTGGGTTGGTGAGAGGACTTACCTTTGTGGTTTAACCTGCATGTGGCTGAGCGAGATGACTACCTGGTCTGAGTATCAGTTTGATAGGTAGTTGCTTTAGATGCTCGCCACGTGCTAGAGCGATAGAAGCTAATTTCAAATTTCTGCATTATCTGTAATAACTTTTTTTACTTAGATCGATTCTCGCATCTTCTGGGATCTTTTCTTATACTTGGCTTTGTATAAATCTTGACAAGTAACTTTCTCTACGGGAAGCGCTGCCGAAATTTCTACAAATCTAGGGAGTTAGTCAAATTTCTGACTTCTTTAAGTTCAACTTGTCTAGACTTTATATATGGCTTAGTAAAATTCTTGGAAGTCTCATTTTCTAAGGAAAGTGCTCCCCAAATTTTTGCTAATTCAAGGAGTTAGACAAAATTGGACTTTGGAAAGTCAGGGGTTACTTTCGATTTCATATTTTGGTTTATATAGTTTCTGAGAGGACACTTTTCCTACGGGAAGCACTGCCGAAATTTTCTTGTTTTTAGTGGAGTCAGATTATTTCTGACAGGTGGCTGTTCTGGCGATTCACCCTGAATAGGGGAAATTCTGCCATGATTCTACCTTTCTTTGGGCACTTGCTTAGACGTAGCCTTAGATATAGTTAACAAGGATGGTTCTTGAGTGAGATTGTGATATGGGGATTATTCTCCATGGACTTATAGGTCTAGCCTGGGGCATTGACCTCTCATGTGTTAAAGACTCTCTTGATTGTTGGTTGAAGTTCAGGACTAGATTCAGCTTGATCCATTGAGGATCATCTTTTGTTGTCACTGAAAACAGGTCGATTGCCGATTCGTCGATTTACGATTCAACTTCAATTTAATCCTGTCACTCAACCTAAAGGCTTTACCCTTGTGATTGAACTGTTTTGCTGTGTTTTCACCCGGACTTTATTGAATGGTCATCCAACGAAAGTACTGAATATTTATTTAAGAGTTGCACGAGTGAGGCTTGTGTGGCTAAAGCAAAGGGTACGAGTGCAAGGAATGACTGAAGTTGACCCCGTGTAGTGCGTGAACTTCTGGTTGAACCTTTGATGTGATTCCATGTACGTTTGTGATTCGGAATCTGGATGTGATTTGTCTCCGATTACATACATATATGGCTGAGGGGAGGCGCACAGTGACTGTGAGAAGTGATTCTCCTATGTAACTAACCCTTATATATTTATAGGTGCCATGAGTATAGGAGAAGCCTTTTGTATTTATACATAAGGGTTAACTAGAATGTGCCTTGAGAGAAAAGGGGAATTCTATTTTTACTTTTGTTTTTTAGAGCTTTTATAGTCGGACGTTTGGTGTTGGGCCGGGATTCGAGGTCCTTGTTGAGGACATCCCAAACCCTAGACTCTGGGCACTTGCTTAGACGTAGGCTTAGATATAGTTAACAAAGATGGTTCTTGAGTGAGATCGTGATATGGGAATTATTCTCCATGGACTTATAGGTCTAGCCTGGGCATTGACCTGTCATGTGTTACAGGTCCTCTTGATCGTTTGGTTGAAGTTCGGGAGTAGATTCAGCTTGATCGCTTGAGGATCATCTTCTGTTATCACTGATAACAGGTCGATTGCTGATTCGTCGGTTCATGATTCAACTCTAATTCAATCCTGCCACTCAACCTAAAGGCTTTAGCCTTGTGATTGAACTGTTTTGCTGTGTTTTCACCCGGACTTTATTGAATGGTCATCCAACGAAAGTACTGAGTATTTATTTAAGAGTTGCACGAGTGAGACTTGTATGGCTAAAGCAAAGGGTATGAGTGCAAGGAATGACTGAAGTTGACCCCGTGCAGTGCGTGAACTTCTGGTTGAACCTTTGATGTGATTCCATGTACGTTTGTGATTCGGAATCTGGATGTGATTTGTCTCCAATTACATACATATATGGCTGAAGGGAGCCCTACAGTGACTGTGAGAAGTGATCCTCTTACGTAATTAACCCTCATATATTTATAGGTGTCATGAATATAGAAGAGACGTTTTGTATTTATACCTAAGGGTTAACCAGAATGTGCCTTGAGAGAAAAGGGGAATTCTATTTTTACCCTTTCCTTTTAGAGCTTTTATAGTCGGACGTTTGGTCTTGGGCCGGGATTCGAGGTCCTTGTCGAGGACATCCCAAGCCTTAGACTCTGGGCACTTGCTGAGACGTAGGTTTAGATATAGTTAACAAGGATGGTTCTTGAGTGAGATCGTGATATGGGGATTATTCTCCATGGACTTATAGGTCTAGCCTGGGGCATTGACCTCTCATGTGTT